GACATATTTACGATATTTTATTTAATTTTTTTTAAAATATTTTATTTGGCATACCTTTTGTTATTTTTATCTGGTATATTTTCTAACATTCTATTTGGTATATTTCCTGGTATTTTATCTGGTATATTTTATGGTATTTTATTTAGTATATTTTCCTATATTTTAGTTAAGATTTTATTTGGTATATTTTTTATCATTTTATCTGGTTTTTGAGGTCTAGGGTCGGAAGGTCCCAGATTGGGGTTTAGCGGTGCATACTGAGCTCGGTAGGTCCCAGGTTGAGGTCTAGCGGTGTGTACTGAGCTAGGAAGGTCCCAGGTTGAGGTCTAGCGGTGCGCACTGAGTTGAGAAGGTCCTAGATTGAGGTCCAGCAGCGCGTACTGAGCTCCGAAGTTGGTGAAGAGCTTGGCGAAAAATTGGCAAAACGGAAGTGGAGGTGGAAGTTGATGCAGATATGGTCGAGGAGAAATTGGAGGAAGAAATAGAGGGAGGAAACGAAGGAGGAGGGCAATAGTTCTGATAAAATTTAATATCCTCATCTGACAGATGGAAAATAAATATAGATATCTGATCCGTACTTTTTTAAGGATTTATAATAAGATAGAAATTATTCTGATATTCCTATTAGTTTCAATTTTTTATCTGCTATTATTACTACTAAAATTATTACCACTAGTAAAGGGAGTAATTAAAAAAATCAGTACCAGCAGCAATAGTGGCAATAATTAAAAAAAAAGCAATAACAATAAAAATAGCAATAATAAAAATACTAATACTAATGTAAATCAAAATAGAATTAGTTATGTAGCAGTAGTAATTGCGGTAGTATTAGGAATAGTAGGAGGAATAGGAATAAAAATAAGAATAGGAATAGGAATAATAACAGGAATAATAAAAAAAAATAATAAGAATAAACATAAAAATAGACTCGGATTTTTATATTGATATTTGTTATGGTATAATTGGATTCGGGTATGGATTGGATATGGATTGGGATATATTATTTTGACCGGTTTTTCCGTTATTATATATTTATTAAATAAAATAAAAATAAAAAAAATATATAATTATAATACTATTAAAAATAAAATAATATTTAATGGAATTTTTAAATTACATTTATAATATTATTAATAATTAATTAATTAATATTTATTTAATTATATATTAAATAATATAAATAAATAAAATTAAAATCAGCAGCGGGAACAAAACCAACAGGAGTACTAACAAAAGCGACAGCAGTAGCAATAACTCCGGGGAGGAAGATAATTTGTAATCGTAATATCAATAATAATTCGGAGATAATGGAGATAGCGACAACATCGGAGGTAATGGAAATAATATAATAATAATAATAGTAAAAAAAATATCAAAAATACCAATATATATAATTATAGCATTATTAAGAGCAAAAACAATATTTAATGGAATTTTTAAAATAAATTTATAATATTATTTATAATTAATTAATTAATTAATATTTATCCAATTATTAAATAATATAGAAAAATAAAATCAAAATCAGTAGTGGGAGCAAGACCAATAGGAGTATTAACAGAAGTGACAACAGTAGTAATAATTCCCGGGAGGAAGATAATTAGTACTAGTAGTTACAATATTAATA